CAGCAGGGTTACATGACAGTCAATTGCTGGGTGTTCAGAGCACTCCTGGAAAAGGAATTATCACTGCAAACATTTTGTGTCCCCTTTATGTATAGCTAGGGAGGCTTGGGGCCTGTGCAGCTATCTTGAGGTTTCAGTGAGAGCTGTTGGTAACTGGTGTCTTTGGGCCAGGTTATGGATTTGCAATGACAAGCTATGCTTTGTACACCTGTGTCTTTGTCTCCTTCTTTCCCAACTCCCAGGGTGAAACAAAAGTCCTGAAGCTGAAGAACCTGCGGCCCCAGGATTACGCCAGCTACACTTGTCAGGTGTCCGTCCGTAACGTCTGCAGCATCCCTGACAAATCAATCACCTTCCAGCTCACAAACACCACAGGTAAGAGCAGCTGCGAAGGGGCCTCGTAGCCCTCTGATGCCTTGCCTGCCGAGCAGCGATTACCTCTCCAGGCTAGTAGTGTTTGCACCCAGTCTAGGGACTACAGCAATTAGTGGATCACCTCATGCCTACGTCTGTGGGGTGGGGGGGGAAAGGAATTCTTAATGCCGAAGTTTTTTGGCCAGGGATACTTTACTTTTTTAACAGTGTATATATAGCTGGTGCCTTGGCCAGGTCTGTCATGAGATCATTAAAACAGACTACAAGTAGGTGTTGAGGCACTATGTAGATTTTAATCCAGACACTTTTATTTATTTATTGTTTTAAGTGACTTTAAAAATAGATTTGATACGGTGTAGAGCAGGGCAGATGCTGCTGCAGTTCTTACAAATGTTTCATTTATGAGAGACTCTGGCCTGGTTTACAAGACTGCACTCTGGAACCTCCCAGTTAACTGGTTCTGCTAGTGTCGATGTTTGTGGAAAGCAGGTATCTCTGGCACCTTCCCAAAAAACAGAGGTGATCAGCTACGCACTGATATTCATGCTGGCAGTGCTTGAGTGAGCCTCCAATTGTGAACAGAATCAGTGTGACTAAAAAAAAAAAAAAATCCCTCAAATGTGTTGAATATTTTCAAATAATGAATAAATGTTGGAAAATTGCTTCTGGCTCTGGGGTATTTCATGATCAGAAAGAGAGGCAATGTAGTTGTTCGAAGTATTCATCTCTCTGTAATGTAACACAAAGCAGTTTGTATCCCTTGTGTCATCTTTGTGCAGTGGAAATAGAACTCTTTTGATGTCGCCAACTGTTGATGGGGATATTGTTAATACTGCATAAATTATATTTATTGATCTGACTGAGCTCAGGGTGCCTGACAATGAGTTGCATCACTTTATGTAGAAAGAAGGAAATAACGAGTTTAAGAAAAAGTGAACTAGAGCCAATGTCAGGAAAAACTATTCTCCTTGTAGTGAGATCTCTGTGAACATATCTTAAGTAACTCGTGTCCCTGCTTGAGTTTATCTCAAAATGAGACTGTAGAGAATGCTGGAATGTTCCCTTTAAACACTTATCTTGTACTGTTGAAGAAGAAAGGGATCTCACACAGCTGTTCTTTCCTGTTGTGTCTTTACCTTTAAAGAGTTAGAAAACCAAATTTTTCTTTCTGACCATTCTCCCCTGCCAGCCCAAACACAGAGAAACTGTCCCTCGTTCCAGTCTAACCCCTTCACTAAGTGAAGAGGGAAAAAATATTTTCAGGCTGAAGCCAGATCAGAAGCCAGTATACAGCTGAATTTACATCAGTTCCTTTGGTACTTACCTAAGCTCTGAACTTGGTCCACACAGCGCATGCACCTAGTGCTTATTTCTTGTTGTTTAGGTTTAAATGCATATTTATGCACAGCTGCAATGCAACTTGATACCACAAGCTCAAAAGGAGTACGGAAAATGTTCACGTTCATAGCAAATTGTATTCAAAGCTATCGGTGAAAATGAAACTGGCGTTGCACTGAAAGGAGGGTTTGTGTTAAATAACATCTCACGTTAAATATGCTTGTGTTTTTTTCAGCCTTGCCCTGCAGGTAGTGTTGTGTGTAGATGAGAAAACGTTTAACGAAAAATATTTAATTCTCTCCTCCTTTCACCTAGGTCTTTTCTTTCCCTCTTATGCCTTGTGCATTGGCAACTTCCTTAGCCGTGACTGTGTCCAGAATTCTGAGCAGCTTCACTCGTGATGTTTTTGCTTTTGCCACAGAAGAAGGCCCAAAGGGCACCGAGGTGCATGGAAATCAATCTTTTAAATATTTATAGACCCAACTATTATGGATCTTGAGGGGATTGATGGGTCAGGTCATGTCAGGCCAATGGAATCTTCTCTTCCTAGTTTGTTTGCTACTCCTCAGCTAGTTCACTCTGGCTCCTTCAGCAGTGGCCTTTGGACGGATTGTAGTCTACAGCACGATGTGCTTCTCCTCTGCTCTACGTCTGCAGGTTGATCCGTACGGATGGGGATCAGTTCCCGATGTGCAGCCTTAACGTGGAGGAGGCTTTTGCCTTCTCCTCCTCCGTTCTGCTGCTGTTTCGTGGCTTCAGAGCAGCAGGTCAGGTCCAGCAAGACCACAGGCCTGGCTCAGTGCTGCATTGTCGTTGCTTGCTCTGATGGGGTCGGGCTGACGTTTTCCCCTCCCTTGATTTCTGTGAAGTTAAGCAGCCCAGCTGGTTAATTCTCCTGCAGTTTTACTGCAGCAAATTGGACTTCAAAGGGAATTGAAAGTGACTCTTTGTTTTTAATGGTCCCCTTGCTGCTCAGCAGTCTCCGACAGCAGGTTTTCTTCACCAAGAACAAAAGGAATTGCCACAGGTTACAAATAAATGAGATTCATCTCCTGCATAACAATGTCTGCGTACTGTTAACCTCTGTCTGCTGACAGGGGCAGGAGTGGGAGCCCATGCAGGTTACTACAGCCAGGGATCCAGTTATGGCACACTGTGGCAGCTTGCTACTTTGACCTGTGCGGGCAGCAGCTTTGCTGCTTCCCTGTCCCCTGATACATGCGCAACCTGCCCCCTGAGGTGGTGCCTGCCCACGTATGTCACTTTTCTTTCCATATTGCCTTGCCCAGAACGTGTCACTGCTCAGCAGGATGAGTGTTGGTCAAACATGTGCAGGTCAAACTTTGCAAGAGCCCTAAATATTAACTAGAACCTGACTCGTGCTCCCTAAATCTGACGTCTCCCTTCTGGAAGTAGACTGATCTCAGACCTTCTCTAGTTCTGATGGGGGAAGATTCCTAGGCAAGACGCTGCATCTACCACCTTATCTGTGCTCTTAGCTGAGGCTAGTTCAACATCAGAAGGCAGGAGCAGCTCTTTGGTATCAGCAAGACCCAGCTGACGGCCTGTTAGCAGCGGGAAGATGTCTTGCCTGCCTGTGGCGAGTTGAGCCACTGTGTTTTTGGGCTTCGCCGAGTCACATGAAACCATTCAGAGCCCAAGGAGGATGTACAAATCCTTCCGTTGCTACTCATTACGTGCTAGCCTTTGGACACTGTTTCAAAACTCCAGCAATGAGGCCTGTGAAAGATGCTGAATACAAGCTGGGGCCCCTCAAAATTTAAAGGCTCCAACCACAGTCCTCAATGGCCAGTACAGCTAGTAGAAGAGAGTTGCCTTCTTCCTTTGGCACAGCTGGCCACATCTGGCACGAATAAGGTGTGTGCTATGGTGAGCGAGAGGACGTTTGATTCGGTTCACCAAAGCAGCGTGCCAGCATAGCAGTAGTCGCACTGCTAAATTATGGTGCCTGTGCTAAGGAGAGAGCAGTACTCCTCGCCTTGTTTGCATGGGCTGTAATTTAGAGATCCAACACAAATCCAGCACAGCTCATTAACGCGGGGTCTGGGGAGAGGAGAGGCAGAAATAATGATGCTGTTAAATCAGGCTTCATGAATATGGAACAATGTCTGATTTTGCATTGTTATGGCTGTTACTTGAAACATACCTCTCCGCCTTTGTGCAGAGGGCTGTTACTTTCTCAGCTCTGTCTGGATAGAGCCAGTGATGGGGCTGACAGCGGCTTTAAAGAGCTTTTCATGAGACGAAATGGAGAATACAAAGGGAAGCTTTTTGGATCAATTCTGGAAGGGAGTGGGTGGGTGGGGAGGAACTATAGGGAGAAGCATGCAGAGATAAACCAAAAACAAGGACTAAAGTATCCAAAGAAGGAGAGATTGTTAAGACACTTTAGATCAATCCCAGTTGTTGAGCTGCAGCATAAAAGGATCCCCAGGGCTTGTACCCTATACTTCTGTAGAGTATACAGGACTCTACCCTTGGACTTGTACCCTGTACTTCTATAGAAAAGCGTACGTGTCAGCTGTGGAAGTGAGCGGGAGCAACAGTGGGTGCCGAGCTGCTGTTCGTGGTCTGTTATGGCCCAGACAGGTTCTGTCCCTCCAGGTTAATCTCCAAGCAGCAAGGGCTTTCAGATGACTGGTGAAGGCTTTGCCTCTCAACAGCAGCTAGTTGGGTGTGAGAGTTGGAGCAGAGTATCAGGATGGTTTAGCTGAAGTCCTTTTTTAATGGTAGACCTTCCACAAAGCTCCTTTTTGGATGTCACCGGTACGTGAGAACAGTGGTCTGGTCCTGAACCCAGATGGCTTCTGGGATCAAGCAGGCTTCTCTGAGACCATTCTGTCCTTCACCTCCATTGGGGTGAAACAGAGCCGCCTTGCTGCCTCCTCTTGCTCCTCCCCAACCGAATGAGACCCTCTGCTCTTCCCCATGGCCCCCTGTGGCTTGGGGCTCCTTTCTTCTGATTTAAATATGCCTGCACTGTACTGTTCTTCTGCCTTGTCCTTCTCTGTCCCTGTTGGTGTCTGAAATCCCAGAGCTGTTTAAAGCAACATGGGGTAAGATCTCTTGGTATTCAGAGCAGGCTGGCTGCGAGTGTTATTGGCAATCTCATGGTAGAGGCCTCTGTCCTTGTGAGGTATCTGATCTGTTTATATACAGATGAAAGCCGAACATGAGGTTGAGAGCTGTGTGCAAATCAGACGTGATCTTTCAATATGGGCATGCAATTAGGAATGCTCTTCTGCCAGGTTTGCTCCCACTAGCAGGGGTACATTCCCACGCTGCCAAATGGTCAGGCAGGAGGAGCCAGTGCTCTGCCCTCACCTCTCTTGGGAGGGTGACAACTGTCCATCATACTCTGAAATCTCAGGGAGCTTTCCAACAGGCTTTGGATCAGGCCCTGAAATGCTAAGCTCAGTCCATGACTGCAAGTTCCTGTGCCTTGTGACAATGAATCTCTTGTTTTCCTGCCTTTTTTTCTCTTCCCCAGGGTTCAGTTCAGTGTGCTCTTCCTGTCCAAGGCACGGGCAGATTAGCTTTTGATTCATACAGTAGTGTTACAGCAAGGGAGATACAGGTGCTCCAGTAGGAGCAACCAGTTGAACTTTTACTCCGGTGCTGCTTTTGCAGGTCCTGCTGAGAGTCAGGAGTGTTAAATGCAGAAAGAACAGAAGGTACTGTCGTATCTGCAGAGGAGTGGGCTATAGTGCAGTATGGGAAAGTAACGCCGAGCCGTTGTGGCTTTCCACTGCCCTTCTGCTTTGCTGCAGTTGTCTGCATCAGGAGTCAAGAAGCCTCTAGCCTCTGTTTTTTCACTGCCTAATTTCTTCCGACCTGACCTGACCAATCTTGATTCTGGACCTTGCTTGCTTCAGCCCTTCGAAGAAAGTGTTGTGACTGGCTTTTGACGCTTTTAAAGTCCTACGACCTGGAGGACCTGTTCTGAACGCTGTTCAAATGTTACTTAGACCTAACTGTGCCCCAGTCCTAAGCACTAGTTGTAGAGTCTTTCAGGTATCATCTCCGTTCTGGGTCTATGTGAGGTTCTGCCTGTGCTGTTTCTTAACTGTAACAGAGCTGGGTGCTCTAACTCAGAGCTGTGGTAATGATGATGCTTTAGGTTCACAAATGCTTTGTATTTGTAATGAATTCATGGATCCCTCTGGCTCTTCCTGCTCAAATCAGCTTTCTTCAAGAGCGATTCCTGGAAAGTAAGAAGCTGTGTATAGGCAGGCAGGTGGATCTTCCTCAGGCTCAGAGTTGTCCCTCTTTGTTCTTTTCCAGCCCCACCTGCTCTGAAGCTGTCTGTCAATGAGACGCTAGTGGTCAACCCTGGTGACAACATCACCATACAGTGCTCTCTGATAGGTGGCGACCCACAGCCAGAGGTGATTTGGTCTCACTCGCCTGGCCCAATGCCTCCCAACAGCCTTGTGCAAGGAGGCAACCTCAGCATCTGGAGGATCCACGTGGAGGACTCGGGCTACTACAACTGCACAGCCATCAACAATGTGGGGAACCCAGCAAAGAAGACAGTAAACCTTCTGGTGCGATGTAAGTTGCTCTTTTTCTCAGAGGATGGGTTTTCAGGGCAGAGGGGCTAGATTGGTATTTCTTCTGGTTGTTCTTGTACAGCTGAGGGTGAATGCGGTACTTAGCAGAGACTACTATTCTGGAGAAGATGTTGTGCAAGCTCCTTTGCTCCCAGGCCTGCAGCTGTTCCAGGGCTGCTTGGGCTGTAGCACTGTCCTGGGCTGGAGAATGATCCCACCCACCAGATATGAGGCCCTGGGGATGTGTTGTGGGATCACAGTGGGGCAAGATCTTGGGACAGATTTTGTGCAGAGATGTTGCCTTCCTGAGGAACGAAGGGCTGATGTCCTGTCCATTGTAGGACATTTTGCTGTTCCTAACTGGTTTGACCCTTCTGTTCCTCCCAGCCATGAAGAACGCCACGTTCCAAATCACCCCTGATGTGATCAAAGAGAGTGAGAGCATCCAGTTAGGGCAAGACTTGAAGCTGTCGTGCCATGTGGATGCTGTTCCCCAGGAGAAGGTTATCTACTCCTGGTATAAGAACGGGAAACCAGCCAGATTCTCAGACCGGTTGCTTATCACCAGGAATGACCCCGAGCTCCCACCTGTGACCTGCAGCCTGGAGATTATTGACCTGAGGTTCAGTGACTATGGCACCTACCTGTGCGTGGCCACCTTCCAGGGAGCACCCATTCCTGACCTCAGTGTGGAGGTGAACATCTCCTCAGAGACAGGTGAGCCCTCTCGGTAGTGACTGGGGGCCCCGGGGAGCAAGGGCCGTGGTTGGCATCACTATCTGCCCTCCACCCGGTCTCTCTGGCTTTTTTGAGGCACCTCACATGAACGTCTTGGACCGCAGCGGGGAAAACTATTGCATCCTCAGGCAAGCATTTGTCTGTGAATGGAGATGGGTAATAGTTACAGCTCCTCTACCAGGTGTGCTGTGCCCTGACAAGATCTCCTTTTGTGTTTTCTCTCTATGAAAAGTCCAAAGTACAATCCAGCCAAAGCCACGGAGACAGCTTTAGAGTATGATTATTCAAAGAAACCCCCAAATGAGGAAATATTGTGAAGGAAAAAAGAGGGAATGGAATTTCACCAAATTTCAAAAGTCCCTTTGGTGAGAGGTTTCTGTAAGAGAAAAGAAGCTACTCTTCTCTGTCTTTGGCATTGCTTATGAGGAACGTCCTTTGGTCAGAGCTGCGTCCAGGAGAATGGTGTCGTCTGTCGCAGCAAATTTTATGAAGAGCTTTAATGTTTTCTGGAGCAATTACAATCTGCCTTGGGTACTCTCTGCAGGAGTCCAAACATTATAAATGCTTCCCCTCTTTAAAATCAAGGTCACCCCCCCCGGCCTCTGCTCAGCCTTCCCATAGCTTGGTGAGAACAGGACTAAGCCTTAGGTGTGTGTTAGTCACCTCTGATGACTGTAATGCAGGGTCTCAGGCCTGCCTCTGAGCTTCTGGTGAAGCAGGGGATCCAGCTTTGCTCTCCATTATAACCATCTCATCTTGTGGCCTTCCTGGGACCCCACGGGGATGTCACAAAACAGCCTTGGTTAATAATCTGAGAGCTCCCAAGGGGAGCCAGCTGCCTGCAGAGTCTGTCCTGAACCATCACAGAAAGTTTTATCTTAATCTCTGGTTGTATTGAGCCTGTTAGTCAAGCTGTTCCTGACTGTAACAAAGCTGGGTGCTCTGACTCAGAGCTATCGTAATGATGATGCTTGGACCTTGCTTCCTTTTGGACCTTGCTTGCTTCAGCCCTTAGAAGCAAGCACGGTGACTGACTGGCTTTTGATGCTTTGGGAATGTCCTGGCTCTCAGCAGAAACACTTGGGCCAGTCCCCTTGCAAAGGGACTGGCACCAAGCACTTGTTAGCAGCCCCGAGACCAAGCCCTGACCATGCCACAGACCTGTCAAATGCTGGAAGCTGGCGTTCCCTTTCTGCTAACAGCCCTGGCAGGTAGAGCCGTGTCTGTGCCAACAAAGACTGCCCCCACTGAACTGCCAGGGAACAAAATGGGGAACCCAATCCTGGATACCAGTGGCCAGCTCAAACCCAGGCCTTGCGTGGTTGCTGTCGCCCGGAGCAATCTCTTTTGCCCAAGGTCACTAGATGGCAGAGTGCGGTTGTCTATAAGACCAAAAAGGTAAGAGGTGGTGGGACGGAGGGCTGGGAGATCCTGGATGTCCCCACCACAAAGCTGGGCAGTCTGTTGGCACAGGCCCCAGCCGGACACCGCCTAACAGAAGGTGCCTGCGGTGGCAGGGTTGCCCCGTGCTCTGGTCCTGCCAGCCAAGGAGAAGCCCCGCGTGGGTGCCATGGACAGAGAAGGGCAGGAGGGCAGTATGGGGCATTTTGAAGCTCCCCTTCAGCAGTCGGGGCCAGCAGACCCTTTTGTGACCCAGGCAAAAACTGCCGCCCCTGCCAGAGTGGCTCTGCATGCAGCAAGACCAGCAGCAAAGGCCCATTCAACCTTCTGCATCCCTGTGAGGAGCAATGAGCCTCCTCTGATGCGTGGATCCCACATGAAAACCCTGCGGGTTTTCCCCAGGGCGCCAAATTGGAGCAAGAGGGTACCAGCCACGGCCCCATGTTTCCCTGCCATCTGCTTCTCCTCAGCTAGCAAGGCCTGAGCTTGCCAAGGTGGGTCCCTTCACTGAGCAGCTCCCAGGAGGTGGCTTTAATTAAAAAAAAAAAAAAAAAAAAAAAAAAAAGTAATCTTTGAATGCAATTTACAGCTTTTCCCCATGAAGAAAATTGCCTCTCGCCAGGTGAGCAGCTGCTGGCAGTGCCAGGCAGCGAGAGTGCTGTCATCCCTTTGCATTGCACAGGATAGGATGTGATGAGATTCCCTAGCCCACAGGAGACCTGCAAATTGAAAATATGGCCTCTCTGTTGCATAGGGAGGGTCACTGCTGAGGGAGATTGGGCTGGAGCAATCCTAAATTTGCTCTTAAAGCAGCAGTGGGCTGTAATGTGTGCAATTATTGTTTGCTTTGCTGGAGCTGAATTGAATTAATATTGGTCAGTTCAAATAGTTATGGCCTCTGTAATTCTAAACTTTGATTTAAAAGAAAATGAAGTATTTGGCCTTTACAGTTATGGAATCGTCTATCCAAGTGTCACTACTGCCAGCCAAAAGGCTTTAAACAGGAGCTTTCCAGAAAATGATTGCTGCCTTATTTACCTCAGTGGACTGTTCAGTCTGAAGCCTAATAGAAATACTGTGTCAACATTACATGGGTTTCAGCATGACCATCCACTTCCTGGGTTCTTGATGGAGCTGGGGCATGAATAATGAACCAGTTCCCACTGAAACCTCTGCTCCCTTTAGCTGCAGTCCTTGGATTTCTTTTGAGCTTTGTTTATCAGCAAAGTTTTGTTTGTCAATTGATAAAGGATCTGTGCCTTTAGCTCTGGCCCCAGCCAGGCAGCATATCTGCTGGATGAGCTGTTCTCAGCCTAGCCTGGAAGGGATGCACAGAAGGAGTCTTTGCTAGGACCCGTATCTCCCTTAAGTGAGCCAGAGAAAACCAAGGCACTGTAAATCTCAATGTAAAAGTAAACATATTTAATAGAACTGGTTCCTTGCTGTGGCTTAGGAGAGGGAAGGAGTCCTGGATGTCTGACAAGGCTGGAGATGAGATCTATGAGATATTAATCCTGTAGGCCTTGGTTTCAGACTGACCCGTGTGAGGGAACTAGATGCCTTGGTAGATGTGACTTTTTTTTCTTGGCCAGAAGACTGACTTTCCATTCAGGGGGAATTCACTGGCCAGAAATGGAGAAACAGATCAAAGGCTTTCGCCTTGGGGTTTATTAATGCTAGCCCTGCTGTTTGATAGCATTTTGCAGCTGATGAGGTGGGAGCTGAGGAATGTCCCAGTACAGCTGGCCCTTGTTGTTGGCATTGGGATACGTCATTGGAGAAGGCGGGATCTCCTTTGGTTCCCTGCAGCTCCAAACCACGTAGGATGACTTACAGGAGACATGTGTCCCTATAGAGATTGCACTGGTATTCCCAGTGCCATGTTGAGTAGAAAGCTTCGGAGTTCAGGGCTTTTGGGGTGACTTGGATGCAAGCATCTCTCAGTGTTTCTTGCTGGCTGGAAACTTGGTGTAAAAACAGTCCCTTCTTGTTATCTCCATTTTAGTGCCACCAACCATCAGTGTCCCCAAAGGTCAGTCCACCATCACTGTCCGGGAGGGCTCCAGGGCTGAGCTGCAGTGCGACGTTCGGGGGAAGCCCAAGCCACCCATTATCTGGTCCCGGGTAGATAAGGAAACCCCCATGCCTTCAGGGACGATGACGGTGGAGACATATGATGGGAAGCTGCGCCTGGAGAGCGTGAACCGAGAAATGAGCGGGACCTATAAGTGTCAGACAGCCAGGTACAATGGCTTTAACATCAGACCCCGGGAAGCCTTGGTGCAGCTCAACGTGCAGTGTGAGTATAACCGTGTGGTGCTAGAGCGCTGGTCTGAATGCTTGTGTGCACAAAAGCCTGTGGGCAAAGGGTGACATGCTCATTGCTGCTTTTAGGCAGGGTTGACCTTTCTTACCAGGGTTAGCAGAGACATGTCTTTCATGTGGGAGTCTTTGAACAGTTAAATATAAACTGGCCTGGCTGCCCAAGGCAAAGGCCAGCATGTTGTAAGTGGCGGGGAGGAGGGCGTTGTGTGTGTTCATACACGATGCTCTCTGTTCCCCTCTCGATGCATCACCTCAGAACAGCAGCTGTGCCAGGTGTTTGTGTGCATTACGTACATGCACGATACCTTCAGGATGTGTTAGTAAGATTGTAAAGTCAAGCACTTAAAACGTATCCAACAGATGTTAATTAGGCCATTTCCACCCCACCACCCCGTGTGTGACTTTGTTCCCCCAACTGTCATTTCTGTATGCGCCTGAACCATTTTGCCTGAATATTGCCCTGTGAGGGGTAACCACAATCAGAACAAAAGCAGTACTAAGCAGACCCTAGTAGGGAATGCATAATCCCAAATGGTTTCCAGGCAGAAAAGCTGCAAGTAGCAGGAAACTGATTCTTAGCATGTGGCATATTGGGTGATTTCAGTAATGAGTGGTGCTCTCAGCCCCTCATGCTGGTATTACCTGCACATAAAGGAGAAAGTAGAGGGAAGGATGCTGCTGATGTCCACACTGCACGACTGTCTCAGTCTTTTCCCTGCAGTGGTTCCTCCCTCTGCAGAACTGTGCATCTGCTCAGCTCCCCAGCTGTTGAGGTGCGTTTTGATATGAGGAGAGCATTAAGGCAAGCCTTTGAATCGGACAGGGCAAAGGCAGTTGGGTAAAACGACTTGGTCTGGAGGATTGCGACTGCAGGAGCAGCCCTCCCTGCAGAGTCCATCCCCTTGGGAGAGTGTGATTGCTGAACTCCTGCAGAGTCTTCCTGGGAATGTGGCAGGGATGGGATTGGTAGGGAGCAGGTTAATTTGCAGCCGGGCGTGCTGTCTCAGGGCTGTGACTGAAGAGCCTCCACGCACAGCACAGCACAGCACAGCACAGCAGTGCTCTTTAGACACACCTGCCATTCTCCTCCCAGACTGGTCGCTCCAGGAGAAGAGAAGTGAAACTTGAGCTGATAACCTGGCTGAAGCCAAACCGGACACACTGGTGACAGATGTAAGTTGCTGGGAGCACAGCAGTAACAGAGATGAGCCAAACCCTGCAGGCACTTTGAGTATTCAGAGATGCCCCTTTAAAATCAACTGTCTGTCTGCTTAAGAGCATGTCAGGAATTAAATTACAGGATGCGGATAGGGAAAATTGTGCAGATTTCCAGGCAGGTAAGTGTGTGGAGAAGCTTCCCCTAAACAGGGTGGAATTGCATATCTTAGTTTAAGCATTTTTGGAAGCTAGGCTGGGACAGGTATACAGTGCCTAGCAGGATGTAGGAGAGGGATGCTCTTGCTCACTGAAAGAGCTGATGTGAGATGCAGCAAAATTTCACTCTAAAGCAAAGAACCATCAGACCCGCTGGTGTCCCCCTTTCAGTGCTGGTGTTTGGTGAAAACTGTGTGGTCCCTACAAACTGTCATTGCCCTTGGAGAGAGAGCAGAAGTGCTGAGCCTGGGATGAATTCAAGCTTGCTAGACGGTCTGGAGGGAAATCACAGCCCTGAATCTTGGCCTGGAGGGAGAGGATGTGACTTACCGCACAAGGGAAATGGTAGGCAGAAGCCAGAAGCTGTTGTGGGGCTGCACCCTCGATGTGACCCCTGGGAAGACGAAGATGTGATTAACTTCAGTGCAGTGTAAAGAGCAATTCACTCTCCTCTTCTTACAGCTCTCCCTATGGCTAAGCAATGCTTTGTGGTGATTTAGCCCAAGTAATGGTGGCATGGTCCATGTGGTAGCCCACCCTGACTGTCCTCTTCCCTTCTCTGTCGGTTCCTTAGTTGACTCTGGGTTACATTCGGAGTGTGGGGTGGACTGAGCTGCCTCCTCCTGCCTGGAAACTGTTTGTAGAAGGAGCTTACAGTGGCGTGAACTGTTCTGTGCCTGAGCAGGTAGCTTTGGTTTGGGAGCTGTCAGTTTGCGCCTTCCCTCAGCATGAAAGGCAAACTGCAAAGCAAGTAAATAGGGCACACATCACCCTTGTCTCCTTCATTGACTCCCCCTCCCCAAAAGAAAAAAATAACGTACTCCATGTTTATGCCTTTCCATCTTGTTCATGCAGTTGGTAGGAGGTGGGTGCTCCGGCAGGGACCTGCTGTGGTTAATTGAAACGCTGCTCTCCAGTTTAGGCAGCTCCCTAGTTCGGTCGCTTCCTCTGGAGTTCTGATCTTGTTGGAAATGGGAATCGTGTGGTTCCTGCAGCCTCTGTGATGAGTGCTGCCCCCCACCGCCCTCCCAGGCTGTGCTTCCCATCCGAGCGCCCAGGCCATGGGTGTGTGTGCGTGTGCAGCCGTGCCTGTTTGTGTGTGTTCATATGAGCTCCTTTTGAACCAGCTCACTCAAGGGAAGAGCAAATTCTGGGTGATAATGTGATGGTTTCTCTAATTTGCTCCAAAGATAAAGTTGCAAAATCAATACAGCAGACGTGATTAGATGTCAGAACCTGTTTCTGTGTTTCTCTTTTCTTTTCTTTTTGTCTCCTCACCCTCATGCATATAGTTCTGTATTGTAACAAACCAGCCCAGAAGTAGGCTTTGCCAGCTGCACTGCAGTATTGGAAAGAGAGAGAATGAGAAGACAAAAAGAACAAGTCAGCTGGCAAAAAGTTATTTGAGCTTTTTTTTTTTTTTTTTTTTTGCAAACAGAAAAAGTTACTCTTCTTTTATCTTATGAGCTGTAATTGTCTATCATTGGCTCTCTGATAGGCTGGATAGCATGCTCCCTGGACTTCTCGATCTGAACTGTAGAGCTTTGGAAGATTAATAAGTTTGTGAAGGTCCTTGCAGCCTCATAGCTCTGTGGTTAGGATGAAGAGATGTTATATACTGGTTAGAGCTGGAGACTGGGCTTGTCAGAACTCCTGGGAATGTAGTTACCACTTGGAGTGACAATTTCTTGTCTTTTCCTGTATCTTTAAAACAGGAATAAAACTGACCAGTCTTTTCAAGGACTTGTGAGGCATAATAAAGATAGTGCTTAGAAATCTTTAAATAAAAGTAGTCATAGAAGGGCAGAGTATTGTTATTAATAATATCAATCTTACTGCTAATGCTGTTGTCCGGGCTTTTTTCAGAGCTAGTTAGGCACTCAGGAAAATTCCAGAAGAAAAATGAATCCTCTGCAGATGTGGGTTTAAAATCAGGGCTGGGTAACCCTGCGCAAATGAGATCAATGTAGGGCTGTAAAACATGCAGTGGGCTTGTAAATGTGCAGTCCTCTGTAGGTTTTGGAACACAAAGTGTCATTTTAACCAATACGAATGTAAGAAGGAAAAGAGAAAGCATGCATGTGTGTGGATCAGTGAAAATGATACTACCTAGATGCAAATCTAGCAAGGACAAAGCAACTAATTGCAAAAAATATTTCAGCCCTGTGTGCTAAAAGCTTGGCCAAAATCGCATTTCCATGACTTACAGATAATAGAAGTGACTCTAAACTGTAGCCTTTGCAAGAATCAGCCTTTGAGATGACTGTTTTATCATGGTGATGTGACATTTGCTTTGTGAGAGGCTCGTGTAACAGTGTGGTGTAAATAGCAACCCAAGTACATTATCCTGCTTGGATGATATTGTCAGCCCTGATGCTTTGTCAAGCCTGAACACCATGTCGTAAGCTACTGGACAGATCTGTTAACAGTCCAGCTCTACCCTGCCTCCTCGACACACCGCATCCTTGATGTATCTACTCCACTATTTTCTTACTGACTTGTTGTTCCTTTCTCATACCACTCACTACTTGTTGTTTCAAGTCAAGAAGACCTGGCTTGTCAGAGTCCCCTTCTCTGATACCTGGGCATAGAACTGGGGTCACTTTACCCTAAACCACAGCTCTTCTTACTGCACTGCCAGTGGGTTGGTGGCGTTTTGGGGCCTCAGTCATGGGCAGCAGTAGAAGTCTCCATCTCCTGTAGTTCTCTCCAGTTTTGTTTTTCTGCTGCGTCAGTGACTCGCAGCTCATCCGGGCCATCCTGCTGCTGTGCTTCTCTGAAGGACATGCCTAACTTCATTTATTTTTCCAGCAATGGACCTGGCCTCAGTGTAAGGGGCAGGAGGAGGCTGGGTAGCTTGCCTCTTGTCAGGGGATGGAGGAGTGCCCCCACTCCTGTGGCATCAGATTCCAGGACGTAGTGTTGTACACATAAGGAGATGTGATGAGGACAGGCCTTTGATGGGGGCGGGATTATCCCTTCAGCTTGTCCTTCTCTTTAATGGGCCTTGCAGTGTCTCGTTTTCCCGTGCAGGCTTTTGGTGGACAGCCAAGCTGAGAAGAGAGTGAGCTGGAGGGAAGCGGCTGAGCCTCGTACTCTCTTCCCACCATCCCATGTGTTGTGGCATCTCATGCCCTTCGGCTGGCTCTGTGGGCAGGAGAGGGGCCAGGCGAGACTGGAGCAGCTTACTCTGCTGGGCAGTGTTGCCTTGGCCCCTTTCCTCCCCTCAGCAGGCAAAGAGAGAGACTGGACTGGAAATGGAGATGTCAATGAAATGATTATCACTCTCTGGGGCCTTGAAAAAGAATTCAGCAGTCTGCTGGCTGTGGCAAACTCCACAGCTTAATTACCATGCTGATCAAAGAAGTGTAGCCTTGAGTGGCCCCAATCCACCATGGTTGTGGCTGCAGAAGAGGGTCTGCAGACTCACAGCCCTGAACCCTCCTTCTTCTCCTGTCTGCTCTTACTGCCTGCATTGCTCTGCCTGCGGGAAATGCTCGCTCATAGCAAAAGACTGGGGGCTGCTCTCTTGGTGGCCGCTTGCCCCGCTCAGGTGTGGCTTCCTGTTATTTGAAGTCAGGATTCCTCTCTAATGAGGGG